GGCATGTTGAGAGCTCCTCTGGGGGAGGTGGGCTTGTGTGCCTGTGTGGAGGTTGGTGGGGGGGGTCACTCATGAAAATATCTGAGGAAGAAGGGAGAGCCCAAGACCTCTCGGCACTGGTGCTCAGGTCTTCTTGGGAGATCAGTTGCTGCTGTGGTCTTGACCACAGCTCTGGCTCCACGGTGCTCTCTCTTGCCACCTTCTCTCTGCTTCTGCTTCCCCCTTTTTTTTCACCAGTTGGCCTTTCCCACAGGAAACTCCCCCAGAGGGAGGATTGCTTGGCTCAAGATGGAATGTCCCTTTAGGCAGTGTGGCATGTGTTTGTGTATGTGTGGGCATGGAGAAACGTGGAAGGGACACACCAGACTGCTGATGTTGTCACTTCAGGTGGTGGGAATGGCATTGTGGTTTTAATATTGTCTTCGTTCACAGTCACAGTGTTTCACCATTTCAATGAGTGGATTTTTTTTTTTGTAATTTTATTTTATTTTTTGAGACAGAGTCTCATTCTGTTTCCCAGGCTAGAGTGAGTGCCGTGGTGTCAGCCTAGCTCACAGCAACCTCAAACTTCTGGGCTCAAGCAATCCTTCTGCCTCTTCTGCCTCAGCCTCTCCAGTAGCTGGGACTACAGGCATGTGCCACCATGCCCAGCTAATTTTTTTATATATGTTTTTTTAGTTGGCCAATTAATTTCTTTCTATTTTTAGTAGAGACGGGGTCTTGCTCTTGCTCAGGCTGGTTTTGAACTCCTGAGCTCAAATGATCCTCCCGCCTCGGCCTCCCAGAGTGCTAGGATTATAGGTGTGAGCCACCGCGCCTGGCCAATGAGTGGATATTTAAAAATTTTAAAGTAACAAAGGGAATTTTTCTTTTTTTTAAGGCACTTGTTTAGGTCAGAGCTAGAGGGTTATGTGACTTTCATTCCACAAATGTGTGCAGAGCCCCTCCTGTGTACCAGGTGCTGTATGCTCATTGCAGGGGGCTGCCTAGTGTCAGGTGGAGCCCTCTCCCAGGCCACAGCACTCAGAAAGCCACTCCATCATCCCTTCACTCCCAGAGGGGGCAAGTTCATAAGAGCCTTCCAGAGAGACAGTGGCATTCAGCTCTCTGTCCTCCGATGTCTGTGAGAGGTAGGGAGAGTAGAGTGGTTAAGAGTGTGGACTCTGGAGCCATGCTCTACCAGCTAGCAAGTGTGTGACCCTGGGCAAGTGACTCCACTCGTCTGGGCCTCAGTTTCTCTGTATGTAATATTGGAATGATAATTGTACCTTGCTCATGTGGTGTATGTATTGCAAGGACTAAATGAGTCAAGTGTGTCCAGTATGTGGAACAGAGCCTGGCACACAGTAAGCATTACAGTAGTGTTGGCTGTTCAAGGTCACATGACCTGGTTTGTCCACAAAGGAGAGACTATTTCCTGATGGGCAGTTCAGGATTTGAGGGAGGCATCCTTACCCCAGGGTTGGCACTGTCTCAGAGGGAGACGTGCTTCAGGGTCCCAGCTGCCCTCAGAGGAGTATGGGACCACCCATGCCCATGGGGTGGGAAGGGCAGAATCACTGGACTAGATGGTCCCATTTGCTTCTCAGAGAAGAACAGGGAGAAGCAGCCAGGTCTGGTCTGTTCTTTGACTTCCCTTCCCCATTCTGTTCCTTGGTTTCCCTCTTTCTGTCTCCTTTTTTTTTCTTCTTGTTTTTGCTAACCCCTTTGGAGGTCTGAAAGTTTTCCCTCTTTCTAAGCAAGGATCACTAGACTTTACAGTCTCCTCTTCTTGCTCTTTTTTTTTTTTTTTGAGACAGAGTCTCGCTTTGTTGCCTAGGCTAGAGTGAGTGCCATGGCGTCAGCCTAGCTCACAGCAACCTCAAACTCCTGGCTCAAGCAATCCTTCTGCCTCAGCCTCCCAAGTAGCTGGGACTACAGGCATGCGCCACCATGCCTGCCTAATTTTTTCTATATATATATTAGTTGGCCAGTTAATTTCTTTCTATTTATAGTAGAGACGGGGTCTCGCTCTTGCTCAGGCTGGTTTCGAACTCCTGACCTCAAGCAATCCGCCCGCCTCGGCCTCCCAGAGAGCTATCCTCTTCTTGCTCTTTTAAAACAGACTCTGAATTTGGGTTGTCATAAAGTGAATGAAGTAGGACTGTGTTTAATTGGCAGTGGAGAAGGCGAATAGGGTTTACCTAGAAGGAGATGTGGGCAAGGGGGTGATTTCGAAGAACATTTGGAAAGATAGGGGCCAGGGGGTGGGTTGTGGAAGGAGAAGGTCCTTCATGTAAAGTTGAAATCAGTCTGGATTCGAACCCTGGGGCAGTGTTCACAGGCACGGGGCTGTTGAGAGGAGCCGGTGGGTTGTGTGTAAGGTTCCTGGCACAGAATAAGTGCCCACAGATAGGTAGTTATTCTTATGGCATCAATAATTAACAAAGCTGGAAGAGTCAGGCTTGGAGACAGATTTTGTTGGTTTGCTCGAACTGTTTGATTTTAGGCTGGCAGTTTGCTCTGTTACTTCACACAAGTAATTACTCTCTGGGTTTCATTGCCTGCCATCCCTAAAGGGTTAATGGTGCTGAGAATAATTCTTGGGCATAGGAAACAGACCTTCATGGGGTGTGAACTCTTCCCCTCGGCTTGCTCACCTCCTACCCCCTTGTTCCCCAGGATGCACTACGCAACTCCGGTGGTGATGGTTTGGGCCAGATGTCCTTGGAGTTCTACCAGAAGAAGAAATCTCGCTGGCCTTTTTCAGACGAGTGCATCCCATGGGAAGTGTGGACAGTCAAGGTGCACGTGGTAGCCCTGGCCACAGAGCAGGAGCGGCAGATCTGCCGGGAGAAGGTGGGCGAGAAACTCTGTGAGAAGATCATCAACATCGTGGAGGTGATGAACCGGCATGAGTACCTGCCTAAGATGCCCACGCAGTCAGAGGTGGATAATGTGTTTGACACAGGCTTGCGGGACGTGCAGCCCTACCTCTACAAGATCTCCTTCCAAATCACTGATGCCCTGGGCACCTCGGTCACCACCACCATGCGCAGGCTGATCAAAGACACCCTAGCCCTCTAGGCCTTGCTGAGCCCTGGGAGCTCTTTGATGGCTCCCAGACCTTGGCTTCTGTGGATTGTACTGTTAGGCCCTTGGGGTTCTGGAGCTGGTTCTTGATGAGACTTGGAAGGGACAGCCCCTGGCTTCTTTGATTTGCGGTTGCCAGCTTTTGGTCATCCCCTTAACCTTTACTGACGGTCAAATCCTGCCTACACTGTCTCTCCACACCCCTGGTGGGGGTCCCGCTTCCTTCTCCTCTGTACAGAAGAGCCACCACTGGGATGGTGAATAAAGTTGAGAATGTGAGTTTGGGTTGAACCATCTCTCCCTTGGCTTGTGTTCTGCCCTGAAACGTTAACATGTTCTGGCATCCCCATGAAGACACACGTGTGTGGTTAGGGTATTGTTCCAAGGGGAATGGGTGGATGAGATTTAAGGTAGATTAAAACTGACAGATTTTGCATTGTGTTGGACATTCACATAAGCAGGTGTTACCCACTCAGATATGACCATGGCCAGTCCATGAATGAGGGCATGGGGTGAGGGTCTGTTGCTTTTGGATGTGACTGAGTTATTTCTCCTCCCTTTCTAAGGAAGCTATGACATCCCTTTATATTATCAGGCCTTGTTTCATGTTAGCCCCAAAGAGTACCTTCTCTGTCTTCATAGAACACACACAGGTCCCCATGTGCACCAGAAAGGTCATTTGATGTAGGGTGTCTGGAGAGAGATTGGCCAGCTCAAAACTGGCATCTGGTGACACTTATTCCAGGTTAGGCTGGTCCTCACCTGTCCAATTGTTAGGGCATTGCTTTGGTAACTCATATTCCTTTTCACACAAGCATACTCAAATGTTTGTTGTGTGCTATGTTTTCATTGCCTTTTTCCATATTTTATAATGTGTTTTGGTTATGTTCAGGGCAGTTCTAACCAGACTACATGGTGTGTAGGAAGGGGTGCTGAGGTAGAAGTGGGGGTGGGGGGTCTTGCCCAGAGTCATGGAGCAGGGTAGGTAGCCAGGATGGCCAGGAAGCGTTTTCATGTTTTTTCCATTCCAAGCTACCCTTGGCCATGTGATATTCCATGACAGGTTTTGTGATGTCCCACTCGATCTCTTGGGCATCAGAGTTGAGAACTCAGGAGGGGGGCTGTAGATGGGGAAGGCCCATTCCCAGCAAACCCTTGATAGCATGTGACCGTCACATGGCCTGCTGCAGTTTGGGGAGTCTTCCTATTTTCTTCCCAGTTGGCCATCAGCTAATCTCATCACTTATGAGGGGCTGACTGGTATAGGGGTTGGTTGGCAGAGACTTTATTTTTAAAAAGAGGACTCAAGGTTTGCTAAATAATTTTTCAGGATACCTGGGCAGGAGGGTCTTGCTTCCATGTCAGCTTTCCCAGACTTCTGTCTACTTTTCTGCAGACTCAGCCCTACTCTCCTACCTTGGCTTGGACATGAGACACACAGTTGGTAGCCAGCTGGCCTTGGTGGACAGGACAGTAACATCCCTATCCCTTTTGGCATTGTGATTTCTCTCCCTGCTGTGGGGTCTGAAGGAGGCACTGGCCTTCTTGTCCAGCTCCAGGAGGCTCCCAAAGGGGGCGATGGAAGATGAAGGGTATGAATCACTCAGATCCCTCAGGCTGTCATTTGCCTGGTCCCAGCAGCCAGCCAGGCTACCTAGCAGTATAGACCTTTGCTCTAGGGACAAAAAAGCCCAAGAATGGGGCTCACCTTTGTCCTGTGTCCTGCTCAGAGCCAGCACCTAGGATGGAGTCTGAGGGTCTTTTCAGGGTTCTGACCAGGTGCTAGCCTTCTTGGCCAAGTGAGAGGGAGAGTCTTGGGGACAGGGCTCCTAGGTTTGCCTGGCTGGATTCGCATGGGGTGGGTGTGTGGGGCTTGGGGGCAAGAAGAAATAACCAGGGGAAAGGGCCATAGTCCACACCGGAGGAGCTCTATGTCTTGGAAGGGCCCAAACACTCGCTCGGCGCAAGGGGTGGGGGCCTAGGGCGCCTGGGATCCGCCCCTTGCTTCCCTCCCCGCGTAACCGCTGCCTGCCGCCCGCCAGCCCGGCTCCCGCACATCTGGCGGTCCCACGCACATCTGGGAAGCCTCTGGGAAGCCGGAGCTGGAGCATGAACGACTCTCAGGGGGGCGCCGCGGCTTGGGCCGCCTGGCTGAGCTCCTGCTGCAACCAGTCCAAGGCGCCCCCCGAGGGGCCGCGCGCCGTGCAGGCGGCGGTGCTGGGCGTTCTGTCGTTGCTGGTGCTCTGCGGGGTCCTGTTTCTGGGCGGCGGCCTCCTCCTCCGTGCCCAGGGCCTAACAGCCCTGCTGGCCCGTGAGCAGCGCGCGTCCAGCGAGGCAGAGCCTGGCGGCGCCAGCGGAGGCAACGGCGACGACGACGACGACAACTAGACGCCTGGCTGCGCTTGGGGTTGCAGCCTCCAGGCAGCCCTGGGCTCTGCTCGGTGTCCTCCGGAGCACGCCCGACAGCTACTGCGGAGCCTGTATCTTCCCGATGCCGCGCCGGCGCCGGGCACAGGTGAGAGCCTGGGAGCCTGGCGGGAGTGGGGGCGCGCGCATGGGGGGGTGTTGACGACGGTAACAACCTTGCTGAGGGGCTTCTCTGGGCACAGCGAGGGCAACTGCCTTAGCAGAATCAGCTCTCCAGCGACTCTGGTTCCCAGCTCTAAATCCACAGGGATGAGGCTGCAGCTATCCCAGGTGTGCGGGATCAGAGGGAGGAGGCTGCCCCTCCCAGCTTCCCGGATGTCTCTCCTGCATTGGCCCCCCTCCCTGTGCTTTTTCTAGGAACAGAGAGTCACTGTGTGATTGGGGGAGAGGGGGAGGCAGACAGATCAAAGAGGAGGGAGCATGGGGGCCACAGTGTGCTTTGGAGCCCTTCAGCCTGGCACCTGCTCTCGGCCTGCGCTGGGCACCTGCTCCAGCCCCACCAGCGCTGAGGCCCAGCTCAGCGGTGCCCCAGCACTGCCCATTCCACCGAGGCTGAGACGCACGGCCACAAGCCTTTGGCTTCAGCTTCCTCTCCTTCCTGAAGCTTTTTCCCTGGAAGGGGGCTCGAGTGAGATCCACGCTGTTGCCTCCCTCTTGAGGCAGGTTTGGGAGTGTGGTGGCGTTTGGGGCAGAGCCAGGGGCCTGGATGGCACTGGGGAATGGGAAGGTGTGCCCTGCTCAGGCTGGAGCACAGATGGGCTCAGAGCAAGGAGCTGTGTGGGGGGGTATGTTGGGGGTGTGATGGCAACCTTCCCAACAGCTGGGGCCTTAGGAGCACATTGCTTCAGGAGTGGAGCTGAGGATTCCCAGCTGTGGGGCCAGTTTAACAATGTCTGGGTCTCCTGCCTCTGTCTCTCCAATGACAGGAACCATCTGGAGGGAAGGGCCTGGGTGGCCACAAGGACAAGGCAACTCCAGGCCAAGGCCTCCAGGGCAGAGCCATGGAGGGGGCTGGGTCAGAGAGGCAGGGGGAAGTCTCCACTGTCCCTCGCCTCTGTTCAGCTTTGTACCTAGGAGCTCCTGGGGGTTGTTGGGGGTGAGTGTTGTTGAGGGTGACTCTGATCACTCTTGACTGTGCCACTCAGGAGCGAGCCTCTCCCCTGCTTGCCCAGGGCACAGGCAGAGTAACCATTTCCTTCTGAGAGGGAGCCAGCAGGGTGTGCATGAGGATGGACTGGTGAGGGGCAGGGGAGGGTGTGGGCAGGTGCAGAGAAGCAGCTGTGAAGCTGACTACAACTTGTGATCCCTGCTGAGCGGCCCGGGATTTGGCGCTAATCCGAGGCGGCTGTGCCACACAGGCCTTGCTGAGCTTCGGGCTTCTCACCTCGGGGATGCCGCCCCCGCCCCCTTGGAGAGAGAGTTGGCCAGGGCAGCGAGGGGTGTGTGTGGTTACCGCTCCTGGCACAGGGCGGTGGGCTGGGCCCAGGGGCATTCCCCCCTACTTTGCTGTGTCCCGAGGGTGGGGGGACTCCTTCCCCTTATTGCATCCAGGGTCTCCAGCCCTCTCCCTGATACCCTTTGCACCCTGTGCTCGCCTCCCCTTCCCCAGCTGGGAGGGAGGGTCTTCAGATCACTGTGAACCCCTTCATTTCACAAATGCAAAGCTCAGAGAAAAATAAGCGACGTGCTCAAGTGAGTGACAGAGCTTGGATGGGCCCTGGGGCTTCTGATTCCGAGTCCAGGCTCATTCCTACCACACTTGGGTCTCCCATCTTGCTCCGTCCACCTTCCTTTTCCTCTGCCTTCCCATCACTCTTGAGATGCTGATGCATTTGGTGTGCAGTTCACAGTTCAAGGCAGGGAGTTGAACCCCAAGCCCCATGCCACTGTCCCCTTCCTGTCCCTATATCCCCAGCGGCCTTATTAGATACCTTCTTGCTGCTGGGAATTGTCTTCCAGATGCTGGGCAGCAGCTCTCTGGCCAGCTGGGCTCAGCGTTCCTGGCCTGACCCTGAGCGGGGAGCGGTGCAGAGGGTCAGTCAGAATAAACATCTGTGGGAAAAAAGCCAAGCCCAGAGCAGAGGGATCAGAGATGAAGGGTGACAACCTTTGGTTTGGCCTTTGGGCTCAAGTTTTGGTGGAGTTAGGGGTGTAGAGTGGTTTGGTGGAGGGAAGGGCTGTGCCCCCAGCATTGTTGAGTCTGCTCACACCCCAGACAGGGCTGGGTAGGGTAGAGGGGTTGGCAAAGGCTTTCTTCATCCAACTTCCTGCCTTTGCTGTCCCTTCAGCCCTGTGCTTCGAGAGCCATGTGTGGGGTGTGCGGAGGACCTCAGTGTTCTTTGGGGAAGATACTGAGATGTTTGCTATGGAACTCTGACCCTGGTCAAGGCTGTCAGACTGAGTGGGGAGGAAAGAATTTGGGAAATTGGGAAGTAGTGATTCTGTCACTCCACCTCTCAGGCCCCAGCCCGAGGTGGGGGATGGGGGCAGGTCTGAGCACTGGGAGAGAAGCCAGCCAGGCAGCAGGACTCCCAGCTCCGTTAGCCTGCACTATCCCTGGGGGTGCTGGGCTGCTGAGGGGTTAAGGTCTTAACTTTTCCTGCAGCCCTTGAATTTTGCCCTATGCTGGAAAAGGCTGTCAGGGGTTTATCCAACATGTTCCTCGGCGTCCACATAGTACAACTCCCTTTCCAGCAAAGACGGGGTGCTATCTCTTACAGATTCCTGGGCCTTGCATCATCTGCCTACCAGGGAGCTCTCTCTCCTGCTGCCGCACTGGGGAACCCCTGCCACCTTCAGCCCATTCTTGGTGCAGATGACAGACTGGGAGACACCTGGATTGTGTGAGACCTCAACCTGGAATCCTTGCATCCAGCTCTTGCCTCTGACCTGCTCCATGCCACCCTGGAGTGCTCCTGTTGTGGGGGCAGGGCGCTCTTGGGAGGTCCACACTGCCAGAGGGAATGAGCCCACTTGGGACTGCTGCGTGTCCTGGGCACTGAAGTGGCCACACAACCCTGCATGCTTGGGGCGGGAGGGGTGCAGGGAGAGAGAAGCTGGCTGTGACCGCTGCCTGCTGGGCCTCTCTCCCATCTGATGTGGGGCAGCAAGGATCTGACAGGCCAGTAAACCTGTCCCTGCTGAGGGCTGTGGGTCAGTGTCACCCATGTGGAGGCCCGGGGTGCTCCAGCGATCCAGCAATGTCCCATGACTTTCTGTGGCTTGTTATTAAATATGCTTGTGATATAGGCTTCCAGTGTCCAGTCTGTTTCCAGCCCTTGACTGTTGGAATCAGTGGTTTGTGCCCCCACTGCCCTCCAGTTTGACCTGCTTCTAGCAGACACTGAAGCAGCTGCCCTAGCATGGCCCCTCTCCCTGGTCTCTCCTCTGTGGTGGCCGTTCCTCTTCCACCCACAGGTGCAGATCTTTCTGAGCAGGTGTGAGGTGGGGCAGAAAGCGACTCATGCTGGCACTCGGCTGCCCCTCTGTGGCCAGTGTGGGCAAGAGCAGCACTTCATTCGGCCAGGCACCATGGGGTCTTGTTGAGTCCATCAATCCTGGCCTTGAGAGGAAGGTGGATTTTGTGAGCGTGTGTACTGATCCTAGATTGCAAACCTTCCTAAGCCTCGGTCTCTTCATCCATAGGATGGAGTGTCAGTGTTGGTTTGTCATTGATCAGATAGGTGATGTGCTTGTCCATTGATAAAAGGGTTTCTGCACTATAATGATCATGTGACGTTATTATTTTCCCTGAATCTCACCATCCTCAGAGAAGAGGTGAGGAGAGGAGAGAGGGGGAGGTGGGGGGAGAGACATAGAACTACCCACCCTGTTCCTGGGAACCCTATTTATTTGTCTTTTCCATGCGTATTAAGAGACTGCTCTGTGCCAGGCGCACCCTGGGAAGTGGGGACAAGGAGATAAACGGGACAGAGCCCCTGCCGTGGAAGAGCTCACAGTCCAGGAAAGAGTGAAACTGAAGTTAAACTAGACAATGACAGGTGCCCAGGTCGTAAGAGCCAAGAGCAGAGTGAGAAGTCCGCTGGGGAGTTGGCAAAGCACCTCCACAGAGGAGGTGGTGTGACAGCGGGCATCGGCCTGGTGGAAGGGAGCAAGGGCACTCTGGCAGCGACCCGGAGTGGCCGGGGCAGGGAGCTTTGGAAGCAGATGGCAGGCAGGGCCAGCCTGGGCTGGAGCCGGAGTTTACCCTGGGAGTAGCAAGGTGTCTGCAGGGTTTCAAGCAGGGAGTGACATGGTAAGATTTGTATTTTAGAGAACCTGGGGGTAAATCTGTGGGTGGGAGCAGGCTGGAAGAGGCAGCAAGGAGGTTGTTGTCAAAGCCCAGCCAAAATGATGGTCACCTGAACTCGGGGCAAAGAGAGGGGCCAGGCTGGAAATACAGGCTTTGGTCACTAGAGGGAGGTGAGGGAGAAGGGAGAGGGAGGGGGAGGATGATGTCCTGCTTTCTGGCCTGAATATCTGGCGGTAATGCCACCCACTGAGAGGATGTGTTATCAGTTAGGACTTTTTTTGGTCTGACTTTACAGAAAAACCCAAACTATATTTGGTTTAGGCAGAAGGGAATTTATTGTCCCACGGAACTAAGAAGCCCAGGGATGGTTCTGGCCACAGGCCTGGCAGCTGCCTCAGTTTCTCCCCCTTACTTGGCTTCCTTCTGCTTGCCACTGTGTCAACTTCTGGCCAAGGGCAAGGGTTCTGGGATCACACTGCCTGGATTTGAACTCTGCCACTGTAGCTGTGTGACCCGAGCAAGGTCTTTAATCTCTCTGTGCCCAAGTCCCTCCACTTTAGGGTGGGGAAAAATAGCACCCGGCTTGTGAGAATGAAGTGAGAGTCACACGTGTGGGGTGCCCAGCGTAGCACCTGGCACAGAGCAAGTACACAGTGTTGACACTGTCAGTTCTCAGCCTCCACGTGAGGCAGGACGTTGGCTTTATGGCTTCTCAGGTCCAAATCTATTAGGAAGGAGGGGGTCACCCACCAGGTCATGCAGGCCAAACCTTGAGTGGGCCTGTTTGACTCTCTGTTAGCCCTGCAACAGTGTTATCCTGACAGTATGGAATGTTCTGGGTCTCAGGCTCATGCTCTATTTGTGTGGAGGGTGGAGGTGGGGGTCTACCCCAAACCACAGGGCCCAAAGCAGGGGCTCTTCAGTCCTGGGGTGGCCATAGACCAACCCGTGGCTGCTGCAGATAGGGCCCCGGGCAGAGGGGCAGCCGGTGAGCCCAGCTGTGGTGCACCAGGCGTGAGGGGAGCTGTCAGGTGGACAGTCAGTCTGTAGGGCTGGGGCTCTGCAGAGAGTGCTCTGAGCCGTGATGTTGCATGAGATGGAAAAATGAAACTGTGGGATGGATGAGAATGAGGTGAGAAGGCCGGAGCTGAGGATGCAGCCCTGGTAGCCACCACCACCTCAAGCAGGGCAGGAGAGGGGCATGCCAGAGCCTGGAGGGAGGCCGGGGGTGGGGGATCTCCTGGAGTCAGGGAGGAGAGATTTCAGAAACTGAGGGATTAGCCGGGAGAATCCTGTCCCTGGCAGTTCTGGGGTGCCGAGAAGGGGCCTGCAGCCTGGGACCGTGGAGGGAGACAGTAGGGGAGGCTTAGCCCACCTGAGCTACCCCCACTCCCCCTCAGCCTCAGAAAGAAGGAGCCAACGCAGAAGAAAGTGGTGACACAGCTCCCTCTAGGCCTGCAGACCTGTTGTAGGGAGAGGGACAGGTTTGTTTTTCTGGTACCCCCCTTTGTACGGTGGGAGTGCTTTCCCATGCTCATGTCTCGCCTGGGCATAAGACAATAAAAAGTAAAACAGGGGGAGGGGGGAAAGGGCATTTATTGAAACCTTAAAATCTGTACCCCCATAATATGCCGAAATAAAAAAAAAAAAAAGTAAAACAAACATGTAAAAGGAAACGCACCCTGTTCCACGCCTGCTGGGCTTCCCTTCCAAGCCAAGCTGACTTGTGCCAGGCTTCTGAGTGCTTCAGGCCTTCAGCCACATGCTCCCTGCCATGGGCCTCTGTCTACCTGTGCCCGCTCAACACTGCTGCCCCTGAGAGCCCCGCGTGTGGCGCTGTGCTCCACGCCTTCTTTGCTTCCAGCTTGCTCACTCAGACACTTCCACTGTGGTCCCTTGCCCTCCTCTTCCTCACTGCCAGATGCTTCCCACCTCCTTTCGTCCCCTTCCATTCAGATGGTGGGTCCCATGGCCTCAGCTGCTTTCTTGCCCTTATTCTAACTTCGCTCCTCCCACTGAGCCGTCCTGGTAAACCTCAGCCCTGGGAACTGCAGCTCTCTGTTCTCTGAACTTGCACCTGGGCTGCTGAGTGCCCCCAAAGAACGTCAACCCCTCGGGCAGACCGATGGCACCAGGATTAGTCACCAGGCCCCACTGGACCCTCGCCACTGCCTGGCCAGTGCTCCATCCGGCTGTCTCTGTCCCTGCTGCTGCGCTACTGCAAGCCTCCTCCACTCTCTCGCACCCTGACGCTCTGCCTCCCACCTCTGCTCAGGTGCCCGGCCTCCTCCTCACAGCAGAGAGGTAGGGGAAGAGGAGTGCCCCTACCTCGCAGGCCCTGCCACTGCTGCCTGTGTTCAGCTGCTCGGCTCTGCTGGGCTCTGCTGACTTCCACGTTGAAATACACTCAGGTTTCTGCCGCCTTAAAATAGCCCCCTTTTGCACCCGCAGCCTCCTCCGGTTACTATCCTATGTCTCACTTGTCTTTCCTGCCAAGCTTTTCAGAAGAGTTCCCCACGCCTGCCAGCCCCACTTCCTTGCCTCCTATTTATGCCTCAGTCCTCTCCAGTCTGGTCTCCACCTGCTCCAACCCCTGGGCCAGAGGCTCCAAAGCTGCTCTCCTGCTGGCCACTTCTGTCACCAACCCCTCTTCCCCCTGCTTTCCCCCACCCCACTTCTGAACAGCTCCCGAACATGCTTGGTGACGTGGACGGGAGAGGCTGAGACTGTAGGCACCAGAACAATGCTGTCTGGGCCCAGCCCCAGGTCTGCCACCGACCGTATACTCCAAATTCTCTTGCTCATTAGGAAAATGGGGCAATGATAACACCCACATGGTGACACCCAGACAGATGATGAGCACTTCAGGGTCTGTGCCCTCAGGCAGCCTTGGTTTGCCAATTGCCTGCCCCCCTTCTCTCCTTGAGAGTCCTGTGCCAGCATCTCTTTCCTCTCTCAAAACTCGGGTCCCGAGTTCCTCAGGGTTCTGTCCTAGGCCTTCCCCTGTCATTCTCTCCTTCTCCTGGAGCGGAAATTGCCATCTCCATGGCCCTAAATCAGCAGCCCCAGCCTAACCTGGCTCGGAAGGCCACATGAATTCATTCATCCACTCTACAAAGATGTACTGAGCAGCGACCCTGGGCAGTCACCGTTCCAGGCACTGGGGAGCACGCTGTTGCGAGGCAGAGAGGTCCCTGCCCCAAGAGCGTACGGACATTTTGGTGGGAAGGGACGTGCAATGGACCTGGGAACAGACACCTGTGGTGGTTGCAGACGGTGACTGTGCCACGAAGAAAATAATGCAGAATAATGGGATGAAGACTTGTGGGTGACTTTCATGAAGGCGGCCAGGAAAAGCCTCTCCAAAGAGGTGACATTTGAGTCGAGACCTGACCTGTGAGGAGGATCTAGCCAGAAGAGCTGGGGCACGGTGTTCCAGCCAAGGGACAGGAAGGTCCTGCGGTGGCCATGAGCCTGGTGCGTGTGAGGGGCCACCAAGAGGCTAGCGTGGCGGGGGCCCACGGAGCGGGAGGGAGAGCCCATGCTGCGGCCTGGCGGAAGGTGCCAGGGCACGCACACGGCCCGCGCGGCTGTGGTTCGGCACGTCTTCCCCTGCGTGCTCTCCCTGCCAGTGGGTGGCTCCACCTCTCCCCAGCCTCTTCCTCGATTCCCTCCGTGCCAACCCATCACCAAATGTGGTCCATTCTGTCCTTAGAAAGCTTTGTTCCACCTCCCCGGCCGCCACCCTCACCTGTCACCTGGTCCCCATGTCTGTTGGTGTTTCTCAGCCCACCCATTCTCCACACTGTCACCAGAGTCGCCTTGATGGAAGGAATATCCTGTCAAGCCACTTCCCTGTCTGACAGTCCCCTGACATGGCTTCCCATTGCTCACAGATTGAGCCCAAAGTTGTCATGTGGTCTGCAAGCTATTATTGCCCTCTTAGGTCCTGCTCTTCTGCAGCTCTCACCACTGTCCCTGTGTGCTCCACCATCT